TGATAGACAAAGACCGGAAATGCAGTCCTAGAAAAAAGGTGAACGAGATGGTCAGGGCGAGGGAGGAGAACTATGACCCTTATATACTACATGGCGTTCTACCAAGTGCATGTGGATACAGGCATTTCCTCCAGGGCGTTAATCATGAACTGCTTCTTGGGCACATAAACTTCAAGTTCACATGCATTGCTCTGGCAAGCTGACGTATCCTAACAAAAAATGATCGTTACACACAGAAAAATCGAGACTGTTGTGCATTCCATGCTGCCGGTGAGGTGGTAAAGCACACGATTTTGGAAGGCACCAAGATTTGAATTATAGACACCGATGCCAATTGGAAAATAAATGCTGAGCATGCCTTCAATTCCAACAAATCTTAGGTGCCTGAATTTTTTGAAGCCATTAATTTTGCGAAAAATTTGCTAAAACCTCCAAAACTTGCTTTGTAGCTCATTTTTTTCCCAACGTCAGGCAGTGAAGATAGCAGTCGTTAACATGAAAGGACAGATACCATGTCCTGCAAAGCAGAACAGAAAATAGAGATAAGGGATTTGCTATTGCTATGCTTTAGGTGACTATTCCAGTCATCAATGGCGATTTTATCAAGGTTTCGAAGCCACTTACACTCGTGTATGCGAAGGCAATTTAATGATATGCAAAGCATGAAGCATGCATCAGTTGCAAAAAATAGTTTTCTGTTCTGCGTTAGGTGTTTTGTAGGCCTTCAAATTTTACGGTTTCCACGTGTATTTGCTGCCAGGAGCAGGCAACTGATTTTTAAGTAGAAAAACCAGTAGATGCACACTAAATCGAGATTTAGCCATTTTGCGCTCTCATGTTCCGGCTAGTGGTCAGGATGTTCATTGCCTTTTTACCTGTCATATTCCTGCCAGTCATCCTAGCAATACTTTCGTGTAGACGCCCTACAGGATTCCTCTCCTGCACTAGTGGTATGATACCATTATTTATACATGGATAGCATTTTTAAATTTAACAACATTTAGATTGTCAAGATAGATGCTTTAAAGAGGTTCTGACTAATTGTTTTGAAAGAAGAGAAAACAATAAGGGCATCTGAGATAACCGATACAAGACGTCCATGCAAAAGTATGTAAGGTTCTTCATTTTTTCACTTACCTTGAATTGCACGAATTTTATACCTGAGGCAGAAATTTTTTGTATTACTTAAACAAATCCCACCTATTTCTCACTAGCACTATTTTTAATAAGAGACACCGAGATTTTGTATCGCTAACTGCAGACAACATTATTCTATCTAGGCTAAATTTTGCTCTGCTAGGTCTCTTCTCTTTATTTAAGTAATGCAACTGATAGATAACATTATGTAGCCACTTGTTTTCTCAGATCTCTCTGCAGTAGTTCATGCTTCTGCTCGTAATAACAGATGTGCACCATTTTTTTATCCATAGGTAAGTTGAACTTGTGAAACTCCATTGCCTCTTTAAATCCGATTGAATGTCATTCAAAACAGCACGTTCATATTGATGGTTGGCCTCATTTTCTGCTCTGCAGGTCTACAGAATCACAGAGCTTTTAGAAACTTTTGTCCTTCTATTTATCTTCCACTGTCTTAAACGCTTCGAACCCAAGCAGATTCCTAATAGCCAAGCCCGTGGTCATGCCAACTGTGACTCTAGGTAGATAAAGATACGGGAGGAGAGATTAGACCGTTAAATATTAATGTCATCATCTTCCTTAGAATTCACCTGCAGAATATCAGGATTGTGAATTCAATAACAAATAAATGAAATCCTGATCGACTGACCAAAGATGAAAAGCAAAGCAGCGGTGTTTATGACATCATTAGACCAAAATTGAACACTGAGCATTTGGAATACGACTGATCAGACAATCACTTGATGTGAGTTTTAATCAAGTTTTGTTACTTGAACAGATAAATTCTTAAGCTAATGTTTACTTTCGTCAATTTAACATGCTGTTATTTTATACAACCACCGACCTGTTGCAATTTAATTTGAGCTAGTCTTTGGCAATTACAATTTATTTTGCTGAGCGCAGTTTGACTCATTCCTGGTATTCATCAATTTTCTGGCGCAATTTTTAAGAAGGACACATTCTCTTGCCTCAAACTTCACTTAAATATGATGTTACGTTGTCGCAATAACTTCCAAGACGAGAAAAATAGGTTGTATTTACAATTTGGCCATGGTTTTGCCCCATAAAGTATGGTAAGGGCAGTAATTCATTTGTCCAGAATTCACTGTTCTCAAAAGTTGCTTGCCCAGAAAAAGGATTTGCAGTGATTAATTGCATCATGATGTAAAAGAAGTAGTTGTTAAATAAGGTCATGTTCTTGATAAAGTGTTGAACATGCCGTAAAATGCGATTAGGATGGTGTAGATGTGAAAATGAGTTCCAGCTATTTCGATGCAAGTAATCCGCTATCCAAAATTGTTATCGTTTCCATGATATACTGCATAACTGTTGGAAAGTAACTGCTGAATACAAGTTAGTCACTCGTTTGTAAGAAACTAATCCTACTCCATGTCAAATCTGTGTGTAAACTACAGAATTGGAAGATTTCCAATTGTGGAAATATTTATTCAATTACCACACCTCAGTGTTTAAAAATCATCTAGGACTGTGTTACTAGATCATTGGTTAGAGGTTAGTCTCACCTACGTTTGGCAATTGCAGGTTCTCACATATTTTAGGGATGTAACATTGCCGTGTTTAAAGAATGTGCTCCTTTGAATTGCTTGAAGTAGTATTGTTAAGCTCAGAATTGAAATAATATTTGCAACAAGCACCAATAGGCAGACCAGTAGCACTAGATTTTGCCATGGTGACTTTTAATGAGCCAGCCAATTCAGATAATAAAGGACGTTTGCAGTTACAATAATGTACGCACGAAAGCTCTAAAAATATTAGTACTGCATCTACATCGTGGTAAACAAATATCTGGTCTCTTATCAATGCAACTACTGTGCCAACACTAGTCTACAGAATAGACAATTCGGCCAGTTAAGCAGTTACTCAACTAGTAGCAGTGAACTTCCATTCCATGGTCACCCAGCCACCTGTGAGAGTATGACTAATATTCTTATGTTAATAACAGCTTGCATTAAATCAACACTTGCCAAAATATTAATGCGATGAACAATTTTCAGCCTTTAATAATTCTTGCGCCTATCATGCATGGAAATTTATTAATGAGATCACAGCAACAAAATCTCCTCGTGCTTGCCTATAATGGTCCAAGGTGTTTTTAAACCGTCCATTCTGCCACTAGAGACTTACCCATCTACAATTTTGTTTGAACGGAAAAGCCGAATTTTCTCGGCAGTGACACATACTTCAGTCGAATCATCAAGTCCCAAATTAGGATTTATTAATACTGTAAAACAATATCTTTAGGTGCCAAAGCTATCCCTTTATAAAAACAACCTTGTATCATAAAAGTCTCTATTAAATAAACAAAATGATGCTTCAGCACTGTTTATTACATTAGGTGGAAAGATTACGGAGATCGTTTTCTTGTGGCGCACAATGTATGCATGTGCTTGTTTACTCAATTGCTTGTGGATTTGAAGCAGTTTAATAATAGCTTAAAACCTTTTTCACTGTCTCCACAGATGTCCGAAATTTCTTTGAAATGTGTTATTAGTGTCATATTTCGGTTTGAGCACCATTATTCTACCTCCTACGTACCTTTCAATCGTGAAGGAGATTGAGGTAGAATGGCTTTTTAGAAACTGCATATAATTTGTCAGTCCATCACTTCTCGGTCATAAGCACCGTCTGGAAAGTACTGAATAGGCTATCAAAGCTTGCATTCCCCTTGATGTGTTATCGCCTTCGTTTTAAATCTCCTCACAAATTGCTTACCTTAATGGTGGAACTTATCTTCCCTATTTGCATCTCTGTTACCGCTTTACGTACTTCACCCACTTTGCATAAATGGACATTTAGTTGATCTTGTTGCCATTTTAGGCCCAATTATTTGTCGTCCACAGTATTTATTTGTTGTTTTGGAACATAATATTGAGCAGTCTGCACTATTTGCAATGCCTTTTGTAAGTAAGCTACAACGATTGGTGCCTATTTTACTCCCATTTCCATGCTTTAACACTAATGGACACACCATCAAGGTCTTGGGGGCTGCGTAAATTCCAGCCTCTGATGGTGATAACTATGCAAATTCCATAAATGTAAAAATATACTCTAACGGTTAGCCAAACTGATGCCTAGTACATTCATGTTTAACAGTACTCCACTTATTTAAATGTTCAAAATTTAGACTTGTTTGAGATCTGCTTCATAGAACAGTAAACAGCGTCGATTTCAAATTGTATTTCTGTCCTTAAAATTGCCTCATTATTTGCACTAATAAAGTGAAATAGCATGCCTATAGGACAATAACTGTCTTACTCGTAAGGAAATACGATATTTCCTACTCAAATTGATTACTACTGGTCATTTTTTACCGCACCAGCATTTAATTTAATGTTGTGAAATGGGAGGGTTTGCCGCAAGTTCAGATTTAAGACAAATGTGGAATGCGTGTGTTAGTCCGATAGCTGAACTTTAGACTCTCGAGGAGTGTCACTAAAATAGGCAGCGTGTAATGAGGCGTTTGGATAAAATTTAGAGAAACAGCAAGTTCTGTGGGATAAAACAGAATTAGACCTGTTGGGAGTAGTCCACTGTATTTCACTACTTGTTATTCTAAAACCAGGTGAATCAGTTGCTTAATATGTTCATAGGCACGACTTTGGATACATTTACTTTTCTGCTTCAATTTACTCAGGGACACCTTTATAAAGTGAGGACGTATGATCGCCATTGCAACAACTTCCTGATTTAACTATTTTAGAGTAGGTCATTGGGAGTTTGTTATTGCTTTAGAAATCCAAGAATCGAAGTTAAACTTTCTTAAATGAATGTTAGGCATTATGGCTCATGAAGAGCAAATCTAAAAAAGAAACCTGATAAACACGGGCATCTCCTCGAAAGCAATGTCGATCATGAACTCCTTCGTGAACGACATCTTTGAGCGAATTGCGGCCGAGTCGAGCCGGTTGGCGCATTACAATAAGAAGTCGACCATCACGAGCAGAGAGATTCAGACTGCTGTGCGTCTGCTGTTGCCGGGTGAGTTAGCGAAGCACGCCGTGTCGGAGGGCACGAAGGCCGTGACCAAGTACACCGGCTCCAAGTAGATGAGATGGGACAAGATGAGAGGGGAGGAGAGGAGAGTGGAGTGCTGCAGTGTCACGATCGCTGCCGTTGCTGCTTTGTCGCACTCCGTTCCACTTCACTCCACCTCACTACTCAACATTGTCCGCCAGTGAGTGAACGCATCCCACGGCCCTGTTGAGGGCCACCATTGACACACTCATTCTTGGTTGTTGGGGCTGAGACCTGCATTTTTACTACTCTCCGTCTCTCTGCCTTGTTTTTTGTTCTTTCAGCCTCATTGTCGGGCCACTTGCCAGGCGCCAGGATTGGTGGCGGTGGTAATCTAAGCGAAGGGATCTAAGGAAGGCAAGAAGGCTGGGTGTAATAATGTGTGTAGGGATGGTTATGGCGATTGCGATGGTTAGGCCAGCGATGAGAAGAGAGGAGGGTGAGCTGTGTGCTGGGTTGAGTGATTTCAGTGCTTTTGGTGTTCTTCCGCGATAAAGATGGTGCGCGCGTTAGCCGCTGTCATTCCATGTAGACGACTGTCTAAATGTATCAACAGGGTGGCTAGTTCCGCATATTCAGCACCTCACAACCACGTCTACCCACAAGTACTGTCGAAAATTACATTACTCCAGGTCACTCGTAATAAACAGACATTCCCAATTTGCCAGATCCTATGTCCTCCGACAAGTCAAAGTATCGTCGACTGACTGCCAGAGGGCAGGCCATCCAAACACTAGGCAAATTCGTTATCAATTTCGAGTTCATGCAGGAATGAGTGAGATGCAAACACCACAAGCCTGAAAATTGATGAGATTAGGGCCTCCTTACGCTCAACAGGCAAATGTATCAATCGTAAAATACGATTGTCCAATTTCCGACGCTCTACATTCCCTATATACGGATTAGCAAGGTAAAGTAGAAACGGTTTCTCAAGAAGATAACCTCGCCGATGCTAAATTACCATTCAAACTGCAATGGACGTCTACAAGCGTTCCATTAATGCGACGACATAACTTGGGGCATCCTTCGCCCGCACATAGCAAGGCCCTGACATCAACGCCTTGTCGATTCTCCGTATCTCGAAGGAAGTTGAATCGAGGCTAGCCCAACATACGTAGACTCAAAGGTGTCAATCCTCCGCCTGACAAAAGGCAGTATTTTACGCCGAACCAGTTAAAGAAGTGATGAATCAGCACTCGCCCGCGTACTTATGTTCAACGTCTACATGCTCCGTCTAAACTGAAGTCAAAATATCGAGAATTTCACTACCACCAAACTTGAAGCTCACAATGCCATATGAAGCCACCGCGAATAATATTTGGTCTACCGACGCATTCTGGCAACAATTTACAATTATTCTTTTAAGGTAGCAGCCTTAACTTGAAGTAATGCTTATGATTTTTACAGTTGCTTTGCAAAAAAGTGCAAACGCAACATGGTTTACATAATTTTATGTCTTTAGCAGTGTGGCACTTGTCACTGGTAATTTTATATACCTGCTGGTAAAATGAATACGCAATAGAAAGGGCACCTTATGTTATGCTTTTGTTTACCTCTATTACGATTGCTAACTCCATCCGCTTTTTTATCTTTTGACATGCGGTTGTGCTTTATACAAATCGGTGTGCGCATCGTTGGCTTGCGTTTGGTAAGCGTTAGGACAAAGTATTGTGCATTAGTTTGCCTCTTGGAATTTAATGCGCTTTTATTTAAACGCAGGAAACAAAGGGGTTAACTTGACTGTCTCACTTGCACGAGTTTTTATTCCCATAAGGCGCTGATGCTGCGAGATTGCCAAATGATGGCGATTTCTGCCAACGGGTTGGCCATATTTGAAAATTCAAGTTACGTTTAATGTGAGGACTTGTACATTCTTTAGTCGCGAGATTTTTTGAGGCCATACAATCTTTTTGCAATCTTTCACAAGTGAAGTGAAGACTTTGCTCTTCGCTTTTCGAAGTATTCCTTGCATACTCTATGGTCACCATGAAATTGGTTTAAGTGTGGATTACCATCGTTGGCTAATTTTGCTCTTCACTATGCATCTATTAGTTGCTCGCTGATCCAGAGTCACCGTGGAGTGTGTACTGAATACGTAACTGCATACGTATAGAAAGTATCTGTTTGAACGTACATGGAGCACTTCTGCCCGTTGATTTTACATTGGCCTATGAGGACATGATGAGCAGAAGGCCTTTCATGCACTGAATTTTTATGGATCTTGTTCACTGCAATTGGACGTAGATATTTATTGTGGTGGGTCGCATAACACGCCAGATCATTTGTGGCTGTAATGCTGAGGGAGATCTGTAGTGATAGTGAGGCACACGGCCCGAATGATAAAAAGTTCCTGGTTGTTAAGTTACTGCTTCTGATCATGAAATGGTATCTACCAGTACTTCATGAAGTTCGCCTTTGTTTCGTGTCCAATTTTGATTCTTCAGGCATTGCTCCCTGAGCCACAGTTTGTGGTCGAATTCAAACCCCCTACCCCTACGCATGTGATGAGTTGGATTTGTTACACTGTTTGTATTGCTGGGGCGATTTCTTTGCCAAAATAGCTGGCTGCTTAATTGTGCAAGAGGAATGACATGGCAAGCGGATAATCATTCCCAGACATTCGTTTTGCGACAAATCATAACTATGTTGAAAACTGAGGACGATGATCATTAGGGTAGTCATTAGAGTCTAGCTGGAGTGCATATCGGGGGAAAATGTGTGCGCATGTGTGGAAATCGCCGACTGACTGCAAATCTAAGCTGGTATATTCCCATTTCCCGGTCTCTGACTTTCCAACTATTTACTTTTAATTAATCCCAGCTAACGAGTTTGTTCCACACTTGTGTAACCAGTGCAGACATTAGCCGGATTGTCGGACACACTGTCGATGCCTATCCGAAAGTTGGAATGTATCGCAATGCCATGTATTGCAAAATAACAATCATATCGAACAATATCAAACTTGCCATATCTCATATTTTGCTGGTAGTTAAGGTGATATACTGATTGTGCTAATGACAATTCTATCCACTTCCCTTTGACACGTGATCTGTACTCATGAAAGCACTGAGTTCTGGCGCTGCACTGTTTGGCAGTAGGATCGGTTGGTAATAATATATTGTTTGTATTTATGACGGGATAAGAGAGGGGCAGATGCTGGAATGCATCGGTCTATACAACTGAGCTGTGACTATATTGTGAAGTCACCTCGACATCTGGTCAATGTCGGGTGCACTGGAGCCATTGCGTGGGGTGGTACTTTCTTCACTCTGTCCTGCCTCACCTCCCCCTACCTCTTTTTTAGTTAA